CTGTTGACTGCAACACCTTCGGAGAAAAACTCCCTCAGGTTAAAAACACATCTACAGGGATTTTTTTTAATATAATAATCATGTTGTTTTTATTTTGGACAGTTCTTGTACAATCACAGCAATGATCAAAGGCCTATTAAGTAGTTCACATTAATGTGATAGTTAAAAAAATAAATAAATTTCCCCATATTTGATATATATCCAAAATATTTCTTTTTAATTTTTAATACATATTAACATTAACATTGTGTGTGTGTGTGCACGTGAAAATATATGTAACGAAAATACACATTGCAAGCCGCTTTGGATAAAACCGTCTGTTAAATGAATGTAATAATATTTTAATAATTAATCACTAATGTTATATTGTTATTAATATGCATTTTATTAATATATAATTAAAATATATAAAAGAATTCCCACATACACAGCAAAAAGCCAGTTTATTTATATATACTGTATATAGATATATATATATATATATATAAACACACACACACACACATAACCATTCAAAAATAATATTCTGATTTGCTGCTCAAGAAACATTTCTTATAAATGTTGAAAACAGTTGTGCAGATTAATTATATATGTGTGTGTGTTTGTATGTATATTAAATAAAAATGTATATTATATTATTATATGCATATGTATATTATTTGTATATTTAATAAAATAGTATTATTAAATATGACTATTATTAATATATGATTTATAACAGTAACATTATAATTATTAATTACTAATAGTATTATGATATATAATACCATATTAATATATTGAAGAAAATAAAAATGGTGACAAATGACAAAATTACATACACACAAAATGAATGCTTATAATCAGAATTATTGTGGGAATTTTTTTTTTTAAGGCTTTATAAGTAGCATCTCCTTCCCATAACACCCTTCAAGGTTGTTACAAATTCCATTCAAATTCAACCTATATCACATATTTTAGCACAACTGGAAGGCTATATTGACTAATCAGCCTCCAGGACCAGAACTATCCGTTTTATAAGAAGTCATCAGACCAGATCATCATGTGACTTTAAGTCTTTATGCCTCAGCCACATTAAAGCAGTCAGTCTTAATCAGGCAATGCATGTTTGATATGGTGTAAAGAGCAGTAGAGAGCAGTATCTCAGCATTTCGGCATGATATTGCTGTTACCATCGTGCAAGAATGATTCATCATCAAAAACACACATCCAGGAACGCTGCCAACAGGCCGAGCATCTGGGGAAACGTGCTCCCTGCTTTAAGCACAACTTAAGATTCCATTGATTTTCATGAGGGAAATAAAATCGCACTGGAGTTTAGAGGGCAAGTTTTATGGTCTTATCACCGGAATGAGTGCTAAGATTGGACAGATAGGATTTAGAACGCTTAAACAGCACACAAAGTCATGTAATAAGATGTTCTTATGGCTAAATATCAAAAAGTCAAATTCATAAATGACATGTAGCATCAATAATTATGCACGTTACATTGTCTGTAAATGACTTTATTTTATGACCCGAGTGATCCATCTATCTGGGGAGTAACATGAAGAGAAACAACACCTCAACACTGCCCTCTAATGACAAACACATCATATCACATCAACCACACACCAGCTTTTCAGTTAAAGAGTGTGTGTGTGTGTGTGGGCGGGGTCTTATGGTGTGAAATCACATTTGAAATAAAATGGTTTAATGTATTATAAAAACAACAAAAAGTCCAAAATAAACATTTACTGAAACTAAACGGCAACTTACTGATGTCAGATAAAGATATTAGAACAGATCACGACTCACATTTACATTGTAAACATCTATTAGGTGAAATTGGAGTATAAATATGTGAACAACATAAGTGGACTAAAATGATTACAAAAACATTAAATGACCCCTTTAAATCACATGCATTCTTACATCAGCGCGCACTGAAATGTTTCAATATTACTTGCATTTTCAATTTTAAATTATTTGCCACACAAATACATCAATAAACTACACTACTGTACATAATCATAAATTGCTTCAGTAATTAAAACAGTAATAAAACTGCCAATGCAACCTCTGAAGGAAATAAATAACGCTCTATTACCCAGTGTCAAAATAGCTGTGCATCTACTGGAACAGGCTATAGCAGGTTGGGTTCATTTTTTTTATACAACCTAAAAACCTGTTGCAGTTTCATCTTTCTGCACGACTCCAATCGGCCGGTGGATCTCGAGGGCCTTTTGGTTTCTTTATGCGAAAGTTGAAACCTGAAGACAAACACAGACAATGTTTAAAATCACCGGGTGCACTGAGAAACACAAAATAACAGAGCACAGGGCACAGGGCACAGGGCACAATGAATTAATATCAATCAGGATTGCATACATGTCTGTTTTTTATTTTTTAAACAAATGTTTACAAGAATGATGTTGCATTCTTCAGAACCTGGTTGCCAAGGCATTTCTATGTGTTGCATTCATCCTCACAAGGTTAAAAACTGGCAAGACTTTCTTTCTTCTATGATGGAACAAAGATTTAGATATTTGGACGACAGTTATTTTCTAATAAATGACATTTCAAAGTTGCATAATTTTTGCTCCACAGAAAAAAGAAAGTCATACAGGTTTGAAAAGACATTGTTGGGTGAACAAATGCTTGAATACTGAAGATTAGAGGTCTGTTCAAAACCTCTAACCCTAAATATGAGCAACAGTAGAAGTGATGTTTGCCTTTGCCGGATATGGGCACCGTCGAGGCCTAGAAACCACACTGACTTTTTTGTGGTTGTAAGTGTGTGTGTGGTCCAAAAAGCTCAGTTAGATCAGTTTATCTATTGTAAGGCAGCAGTTTATTTATTTTTATTTACTAAATGACAAGTTAGCAATTTACATGTGCACAATAAGATTGATTTAGGCAGCCGTTCAACTTTTAGACAAACTAGAAAATGCAATAGCACGCATTTTTGTTTCTAGAGACTCATTAAAAACCCATTCAAACCTAAATGTTTTATCTGCTCAGTACTCTTGTTATGTACAGAATTAAGATTTAGTGTGCATATGGTGTTACTCACCTAGGCCGCCCGGGGCAAATATGCTGCTGGTGTCCTTGACAACGCTAGACACATATTCATAACCATCATCTGTAGAAGATTGGCTCTCAGCTGCGAAAACATGTTTAACAATGTTTAATGACTTAAAAACCAAACTCAGAGTGAGAGAGTGAAACCAGCACTGATCTAACACTGCTTCCTGTTTACTGCTCGATAGTGCTTCACACACATTTGGTTGGATAAAGAGTCTCCGGGGAACTGAAGTGACTTACATTACTAACAACACACACGTTACTCTTTATGGACTGTATTTGAGTGCACTCATAGGTAGGTTATGGACATAATATAAAGTCATCCAACATCAGTATTGTGGGTTAAAACTTGCATATACCTATAAGGCAGATGCTCTCAACCTTAGGAGTGGAAGTGAGATTTCTGTTAACTATTGTATGCATCATAGTTTTCAATTAATTAATTAATTAATTTTTTAGTTTTTGAGCACAATTATCTAACTGTAGGTTAGACCTTCATATTATTTATGCAGCTTGTCTTGCATTTAAAATATTAACACGACCCAGCACATTAAAAATAACCCATTTTATAGCATGAGATTGCAGAAAAAAACTATATTAAACTATAAGCTATATATTAATAATAAATAGCTTATCATTTGTAAATAAATGAAATGAGCTAAATAGTTACATGCATTGTTATTCTTAATTTTTTTTTTTTTTTTTTGTACTTTTTTAACTTTTTATTTTAATATTCTTTTTGCCTTCACTAGTACATTAAAAAAGTAAAAGTAAAATAATTATAGAAAAATAAGGATAATTTCTTTTATGTCAACCCCCCATTTTGCATAAGCATTTATTTTGCGGAATCAATCATTTAAATTATGAATAAATTCACACAGAAAAATCCTTTTCCAGATCAGCTTGCATAGGAAATGAAACACGTAACCGCGCACTTACTTGTACTTGGGGATCGTGAAAGCGGACCGTGTGGCTGAGGAAAACACATTTAATTTAATTAGTTTTAATGATGATCTTTGCAGATCTTAATCTGTGATTATCAGGGTTAAAAAGACTGTGATCATCAGTCAATACAATGCATTTTCACTGGAAATATTCAATCTGTCAGGTTATTTTTTACTAAATGCACTGCCTGTAAGTGTGTGCTAAAGCTCGTTAACTTGTAAGTGTGATCTCAGCTAGAAGCCTCATATATCACAGGAAGAGGCTGAATGTGAATGTGATGTGAAACACAAACAAGCAAATAATATGACACCTACAAGTGAGCAGACACACATTACAGGCCAATAACTGCATATAAGGGCATCATTTAAGATTAATATGTACAGTCAGGACCGTTTCTAGCCAATTTGACGCCCTAGGCGAAATTCCTAGAAATGGCCCTGTGTACAGTACTTAGCACTTTCATTTAACATCTAACATGAAAACCAAATGAACCCATCTGTCAAGCAAAAATGACTGCAAACATCTTATTACCAAAAGATCATTTACCTGCGAATCTCTATTCATGGACCTCAACTCCCCTGAGAAAAAAAAAAAAAAGATTTATTCAAAAATTATCATTAAAAATGGGTAATATTGATTATATTTTATGTTGTATGATTTTTGTAGTATTGTTCCAGTTACATCTAAGTATGGAAAATGACAAATTATTATTATTTTCTCTAAAACAATTTACTCTTTTAAATGAAGTATGCGATTTTTTTTGTCTTTTTTGTTTAGGATTTCTTCAAATACTTCATCTTATCCCAATTTAAATATTAAAATGCATACATTAAGCCATTCATTGGTATGTACCTGACGTGTGAACATTATGGCGCTGTATAAAACATCTAACCTTTTGCCTGAACAAATGGCATGCATTTGGAGGCGGGACTATCTGTTGGTTGACCAATAGCAGATGGGGGAAGTTTATGATACCAGCTTGAAAACACTGGCTATGTTCGAAAAGGAAAACTAGCTTACTATTCAGTATGCACTGTATGCTGCCAACTATTTCCTTTTGGTGGCACCCCAGTGGCATAAAAATGACACACTTCACCTGTTTGGACTCCACACTTTAAAAGTTCAATAGCGGATAAAACAAAAAGGGAATTTAAATTCCCTGAGAGATATGGAAATACGAGCTTCAAATAACTGAACCTTTAACAGATAAACACCAAACGAGAGGGTCTGAACATCCTGGTGATCACATGAAAAAGAAGAACAGAGTCATGAGAGGAGAGTGAAAGCAGCAAGCAGAAGTTTCCCGGAACTTAATTCTCCTAAAACAAGCAAGTTCCCGTTCACTAAAATGATCTTCCTTTTAGTGCGCAACTAAAGTCATGATTTTGAATTTTGTGTCTACTTTTATTTTCAGTACATTCAGTACTTTAGCCTAGCAGGCTTCAGTTAGCCAAGAGCTATTCAGTCTTATTTTTGGGTTCAAATTAGACCAATCTATGTTTTTTATGTAACTGACTTAAAAAACAAATTATGACCAGTCTTAGAGGAAAAAAAAATTGACGATTAACTTGTAAGACTAGTGTAAGCATTTTATGCAACCGGCCATAGGGCAGTGTTGTTGTTAACTAAAGCTAAAACTATTAAAAAAATGTTTCTGTTAATTTAAATAACACTACAATTAAATATATAAATAATAGAGGAAAAAAAACTTACATTTAAAAAAACTTGGAAAATTAGACACGTTGCTTTGGCAACTAGCTGAAATCAAATAAGTACTAAGGCCTGGTCTCACAGACAGGGCTTAGATTAAGCCAGGATTAGACCATAGTTCAATTAGGACTTTTAAGTAGCTTTTATATAAAAAATTAAAATAAAAATAAACTTTTTCCTGTGTGCATCTTGAGACAAATCATTGACAATTACATATTTTAAGATATGTCAGTGCAAGTTTCTTTCAGTTAAAACAGCTCAGACATGCATTTTAGGCCCTGTTTACAATATAGTGAATTTTAAAATGAAAACGATCCTCGTCTACACTTGCGTTTCAGAAATGTTCTCCGTCCACACTACATAACCGAAAACCGAAAGTCTCCGTTTTCGAGGGTTGAAAGCGCCGGGGTAGTGTAAACGGCAGGCGTAACCTTAGCAAAAGTTATGCGTTTTAAAATGAAAACGCACTAGTGTAAACGTAGCCTTAGTCTGGGACTAGGCTTAAGCCTTGTCTGTGAAACTGGGGGTAAAAGTACTAAAAATTATTTGACAATGTTGAAAATTTAAAAATAAATGAAAGCTAATTAAAAATATTAAAACATTTACTAAAATGACTATAACTTAAACTAAAATTAAAATAAAAACGAAAAAAATTAAAATACAAGCTAATTCAAAATATTAATACTACAATAGTAAATAAATAATACTAACACTGGATAAGAGTGGTTGCTAAGTGGTTATTTACTGGCTACTGAATTTTTAACTCATTCGCCATTTAAAAAAAAAAACAATCAAAATGTCCCTTACCTGGCAATAGCTCATAACCCTCATGATCCATCTTTTTGGGTGCCAGTCCTCCTCTCTGATTGGCTGCTGTTGATCTGTCACAACCCGGTGAGGTGGGAGAAGGCAGGACTGACATGGGCCTGTTTTTAGGTTTGACTGTACTGTAGACTGCATTGTTATTGCTTTTCTCTAAATCAGCATTGTCATAGTGATGGACAGTGATTGAATGAGGGGCAGAAGCAGGAGGCTGTAGTTTGGACTTGTTGACGACCGCGTAAGTGTCGTTCATCCTGGTCTGAGGAAGAGGATGAGAAAGCCTGGGCTTGAGAGGTGGATTTCTGAAACCAAAGACAGACAAATACATATTTAAGTTAGGAATACATTTATTTTTATTTTATGTTTTATTTTAGCAAATTATTTTACATATTTTATCTAGCATAAAATATAATTTAAAGATTTTAAATTGATTTTAAATCAATATATATCATTAATTCAATTATATTTATGAATTTTTACATAATATAAAGCAGCATAAAGTATACTTTTTAGAAGCATTATGTGATCATTATCTGGAGTACAATAAAATGGACAAAAACCCCTTAAAGGAGGCACCCGGGACCTTTTTTTTTTTTTTTTACTTGGACCAGTAAGAAAGCCCCCTAGCAACACAGAAGAGAGTTGTGTGCAAACAAGCACCCACAGAAAACACAATAATCTAGACATAAAATAATCCACATTATTATCTGCATTGGTGCATAGTACAAAAACGAGTATCTCAGAAACATATGATCAAGAGATGAGATCACTAGCATGTCAATTACATTGCTAGTTTATAAGCCAATGGGTATTTGTGACAATGTTGATTGTATTAGATTACACAGTGACATGAGACTGCACAGTAGCTCATTCACAGAAAATAGAAAGTTTATCTTCCACATTTTGCTCTGGGCGGCTTGACTACATTGGTGCTTTGTGAGACCACATCTACAGCAACGTCTAATGACTGTCTGTCACATTTGCATTCAGTGTTTCTTATGAAAAATGCTGACCCAAGGGGAACTGCAAAGTTAAATGATTAAATTGCTTGTTTGTTCTGTATAATCTGAGCATTAGCGGAAACCGCATTCATGCAAAATATTCACATCTTCAGATCAATCATCATTACAAAAATCATATTCATCTGTATGCAAAGCAGAAATGTCACCATGAACAAGTGCCTGTGCAGAGAAATACATATCCAGCTATACGTCGATGTCTCACAAGATCAACTCACATTAACTCTAGTTACATGTGAGATGAGAAAAGTTCAAATTGCTCCCTGTGGTGTGTGATACAGAACCGACAATAACAGCTTGTAAGCATCTTGGCTGAGTCCACCTGCGTGACGCACAGTGCCGTAGTTAGCAGATTTGCACAGTTGTCAATCTCAAATTGGCCTCTGGCTGTGTTGCCACCGCTGGTTTTAATCACAGACATCCGCAAACAGGGTAAGAAATGTGGAAATGAGGGTCTTTGTGGTCTTACCGTGTTTTAGGGGGTGCGCTGATGCAGCTTAATGATCCTGATTTTAGCGAAGTCTTCGGTGGAACCGCACTGATGTACAGAGAGGCTGAAGTCTTGAGTTTCCAACACAAAAAAAAACAGAAAAAAAACACAAACTGTGAAATACGTACACAGTGTGGGAGAGCAGCTACACAGAGCGTCTGTGTTCAACTGTTGAAGGATGCCTGAATATTTGCATTGAGGAAGCACACAGCGAGTGTTTCCTGCTAAACTGCTTTTTTAAAGCTCACGGCTCAATGTCTTGAGGAAGTAAAACCTGATGTGATGTAAAAACAAGAGATGTAGTGGCAGAGTAAATGTATTTTAAACAAAATACTTTTTTTACACTGTTTCTTCTTAAGATGTCAACAAATAGAAATTGTTCTTTTGTCACAAAGAACATCCACCATGTAAACATCAATGTACCAACAAGCACTGAAATATTAGTACGTCATCCAGCACAAGAACATTAGGTAATAGTTGGGTGTAATAGAAAAAATGTCCCACTATTCTGTTATTAGATATTTTGCAAACTATCCTAGTGACTGTTGCATACAATGAAAGTTAGTAAAGCGGAAGCTGTCGAGGCCCTAAAAGGGCATCAAGGCACCATAAAAAAAGTAGTCCAACAAGTCATGGGTTGTATACCAAGTCTATGATAGCTCAATATGAGGGGTTTCACATCACTCAAGTGCTGTATTTGAATGTCTTTGAATGCAAATGTCAGCACTATGTCAGAGAGGAAGGCTAGCAATGAATAGCAACTTCTCACTAAAAGCTGACAGCTTTAGATGGATTTGAAAATAGAGCATATGGACTACTTTTAACGTCTGGAGCTTGACAGCATCACTTTTGGTATGGAAATGAGTGGAACAAACAAATGATCTCCTTTTGCGTTCAGAAAATGATACGGGTTTGGACTGACATGAGAGTAAGTAAATGATGACAAAAATTTGATTCAATTACACTATTATTCAAAAGTCTGGGTTCTGTAAGAGTTTTTTTTAAGTCTCTTATGCTCAGCAAAACTGCTTTTTGACCTCAAACAGTAGTGTATGTCTTACCTCTGTCTTCTTGTTTTTCATCTCCAAGACCTTTTGAAACATCTGAGCAACCGTATGAAAGACAAATGCATACTGCTCCTAAGAAGATTCACAAAAACATAGCACTTGACATCAGGAATTCACATGATGTTGTGAAATATGACAGACATGGCTAAATGGGCCTATATCCATGTGATAAAAACATACAGGCTTTGATTATTTACTTTAAAGAGAAGAGGGTTCAATAATAGTTCAAGAATCCATTCTGTAGATAATTTCCATTATATGTGCCATGCAAGAAATCATGTTCTGATGTTACCTTAGTCTGCACAGCTGAAGGTCTCTGTCTTCTGAGATCTAACACCAGGTCCAAGATATTAAAATCCTCCTGTATTTGCTGAGAATAAAAGAAAACGTGTTTCATGTGATAACTGTATGTGTGTGTGTTATATACGTATATGTGACCTTGGACCACAAAACCAGTCATAAGGGTCAATTTTTCGAAATTGAGATTTATACATCTGCAGAAAGCTGAGTAAATAAGCTTTCCATTGATGTATGGTTTGTTAGGATAGGACAATATTTGGTCGAGATACAACTATTCGAAAATCTGGAATCTGAGGGTGCAAAAAAATCTAAATATTGAGAAAATCGCCTTTAAAGTTGTCCAAATTAAGTTCTTAGCAATGCATATTACTAATCAAAAATTAAGTTTTAATATATTTACAGTAGGAAATGTACTAAATATCTTCATGGAACATGATCTTTACTTAATATCCTAATGATTTTTGGCATAAAAGAAAAATCAATCATTTTGACCCATACAATATTTTTGGCTATTGCTACAAATATACCCCAGAGACTGGTTTTGTGCTCCAGGGTCACATATATGACACATTGTGTTGCCTAATTCAGTGTGGTTTCTAACTTAAAAAATCACAAGCTTCTCCCTCAAGCGCTGTGCATATAATTTTGTGTTGTTATGGTGTAAATACCTCTGTCAGCAGTAGATCATTGACATAGTCAACAGCACAGATGACCCCTGTTCTACCGCAGCCGGCACTGTAAAGAGAGAGAAGCCGTCACATTTCCATGATCTGATCCATTCCCTCCTGAGACTCGGTTCAGAGTGTCACGGGGGAATTATGGGCCATATTGTCGGACAGAGCCTCTCTTATGTATATAAAGAGAGGGTAATGAGTGAATCTGTGCTGAAGTCTGGAAGTTAACTGGCTTTTCCAGCGCCACATCAGGTGCTGAATATTTAACATGTCTCGCTTCATTTAAATGGTGCCATTAAAATGCATGGAACCAGAGGAACACAGGCCGGCCCCTGCTGCACCCTAACAACATGGACCGACTCGACTTGATGAATTTTCATGGGCAGATGGGTAATTTGTCAGAGGCACAGAAAAACACAGAGACGGCTGTGTGTGTGATACAGACCTGCAGTGGATCACTACAGGGTCCGTCTGGTTGCCCTGTTTTTGGCGAGTCAGCTCCATCATACCCAGAATGCCATCCGGCACGTCTGGAATTCCGTGGTCTGGCCAGGCAGTATACTGGAAATGAGACACTTCACGAGTTTCCTGTGTGGAAAGATGGCGAGTGTTGACCTCTCAATGTATTACCGTTTCTTCACCAAATTACAATGCTTAAAATGAACTAAAATGGGAAACATCACACACAGAGATGGTAATGGTGGTTCCTTGTTTGGAACTGTGTTAGAGTAAACAGTGTTTTACAAGATGCTCAAAATGAAGAACACTGCAAATTTGTGGTTTGTCTGATTTTCCTTAAAAACACAAATAGAAACACTCTTAAAGGAACAGTTCACCCCAAATATATATATATATATATATATATATATATATATGTATATATGTGTGTGTGTGTGTGTGTAGGTGTATATAAATTCATGTATGTGTTTGTGTTTATATATAAATATATACACACAATTATTTTGTTTTGAATAAATTAATACTTTTATATTCAAGTCTGCATTAAAATGAACAAAAGTGACAGTCGACACTTTGTTACAAAAATGTTTTTCAAATAAACTATGTTCTTTTTAACTTTCTATTCAACAATGAATTCTATTCTGTCTAAATGTATCACGGTTTACACAAAAATATTAAGCAGCACAACTATTTTCAACACTGATAATAATAAATGTAATGGAAGTAATGGCTGTTGAAAATGTAGCTTTGCCATCAGAGGAATAAATTACATTTTAAAATATATTCACATAAAGTTATTTTAAAACTGCAATAATATTTAATAGTTTTTACTGAATTTTCCCTTTTTTCTTTTCAGAAAACAGATTTCATGAGTTTACAGTGTCTCATATCATTGATCTGCATTATTGTGTCAAGGCTTTCACCGGTCCGTTTCTGAAGGACCATGTGACACTGGAGACTGGAGTAATAACTGCTGAAAATTCAGCTTTGCCATTAACTATTTCACAATATTACTACATTTTTGATCAAATAAATACATCCTTGGTGAGCATAAGAAATCATTATTTATTTATATGATCTGTAAATATATATTCAGAACAAACAAATGTTATTACGTCCATTTTATATCATATTCTACTAATGACACACTAGAGACACCACTTACATCACAATATTTTACCACCAACGTCCGAACAATGACTTCCTCATTTGGTCGTGACTCCTCAAACTAAAGAAAAAATGACAGTAATCAGGAGAACTTCCTCTTGTGGGGCCTTGCAACTGCACAAACTACACTTTGCATCAAACCGCTGAAAAAACTGACAAAACTTTCATGAGGCGTGGAGATAACATCAAAAGCAACTGTTGTGTAAGATTAATATCCTGTATCTTAGAATGAACTGCTGAATTATGAACAATGTTCATTGTTGAGGAGCACAGAAACACTTACAGTTGAGATGGTAAAGGGACCAAAAATAGATGCGTCGGTGGGCGGCGCCCAGTAGACTTCACATTTTTTCTAAAGAACAGAGAGGTTGTTAAAATAGTAAATGGCAAGAAAATGACAGGCATATGAAACAGAACAACAAAGGAAATATAAAGATCACCTTTCCCATCTCAACCTCTCTACAAGCCATGATTATGACCTAACAAAAAAGAACAGACCAAAAACGAAATCGATTCAACTTCATGAAGTGAAAATAGAACAGATAATTCAATGAAGAGATACTGCATAATTATAGAAAAATAAATAGTGTCTAAGCAGCTCACCTTAACATTGTGTTGCCAAATCATGCGCCAGAAATCAACCAAAGTACTGCTCAAAGGGCCTTGGGTGGCGATATAGCTCCTGTTCAGTCCCTAGCGGGAAAAAACAAAAAAATATGATTATTTTACACATCTACTATGCTTCAAAAATGTCTGAACACCTGCACGACTACACCTTTTATTTTCAGAGTTCTAAGATTTTTTTGGTCACATATTATCTTGCCTGTCACAAAAAAAAGTGCATGATGCCCTTGATAAGAAGTTAAAATGCTGCAGTACCTTGATGAAGCTGGCATTAATATAATCAGACTCATATTCAGATGTGGTTGGAGCTAGACAGACTCTGGTCTGATCATCTGGAATACATAAAAAGAAGAAAAATAACAAGGGATTTGCATATTTTTCCTCTCATCAGTGCGAGTAACTCATTTATCAGGCAACACATTGTGGAGACTCAATTATGAAATATAATGAAATGTTATTGCCATTGCAATACTAAAAAACATTGTACTGTAACTAGGCTATAGGAGGCATGTTTTGACAGAAGTGACAGTAAATTGAAAATGGTATGACAGGGAATCGTGTTAAATAACTTCAGTGAACGATTCTGTGTCATACTGAGAGAAACTGTGAGTCACAAATATTTCAAAGCTGATGAGATCTGAGCCTACTGTCAGATGTGAAAATCCTGATATCAAAGTATGCAACATTCTAACACAAAATGTGTTAGTCTTAGAAGCATCAGTAACAATGGGTTGCAAATAATACATGAAACACCATATGCCATTGTTTTTCCGCAAAAGATATGAATTTATATCAGTCATGGAGTTATATTGCAGCTGCCAGAGGTGTAAAGTATTGGAGTAAATGTAATTAGTTACTGTACTTGATTGAGTATCTTTTTGGATACTTTGCAGTTGTACCGAGTATCAAAGATATTAGCAACTTTTACTCTCTACTTCACTACATTTTTGAATGAGTATCTGTGCTCTTTACTCCACTACATTTGAAATGAGCGTTACAGTTACACATTACATTTTGCATGGACCTAGCTTTTTCTGCAGCAGTTTATTTCTGCTACAAGAGACGTGATACTGCCTATTACAGGTCACTGAAAGTACTGCATCTTGTGCATTTTGCCCTTACTCACCCAAACTTGTCAACAAGGCTACTTTATGTGAATGCGAGTTCCTTAGCAAGTATTTGTGAATCAGAGGTGTTTTATATATGAGATGAGGACATGACTGCAACCGGCAATGAGGCCCAAACCAGCACATCCACTGCAAGAAGGCTTCGGCTTTTTAATTTTACTTAACATTATTTTATTTATTCATTATACTGAAGAGACCTTTTTGAAGGACATTGTTTTTTTGTTTGTTTTGTAATTTTTAGGTGTTCAGTTTTATTTTGGTTTTAGAAAATTAACGTGATTGCTCTCCTCACAAATCAACTCTTTCTTGTTTTTGTTACATGTTCTCTGTGCCTTGCCCTGGACTTTTATGTCACTTCCTGTCTCCCGTGGTGTTTGTAGTCAGTTTGTAGTCCATAAAGAATAGAAGAGTCCACACCACAGCTATAATGATAAAGGCACAGAGAAATGATATCGTTGGAATCCTTTTCAGAACGATTTTTTCCAGCTGATGAACGATAAAAACATTGACAGCCAATCAGAATCAATCCTGAGCGGAATTTAAAGCGACAGACGAGTGTACACTTAGAATAATCTGACGATATCGTCTGCTGGTGTGGACGCTAATATCGTTATCTTTATAGTTATCATTCTTGGTGTGAATGGGGCTTTAAGCTTGTTAGCCCCCTGTGTGTATATATAGCCCTAGTTTTTATTTAGTTCCTTGTGAGTTGTTTAATGTAGGCCTAATGGTTGTCTGTTTGCCAGTCATTCTGTTCTTTGTTCCCTTTGGTTTTTGGCTTTTGGCTTATTGTTTGTTCTAGTTTTTACATTAACTACCTGCACATAGATCCTTGCCTCTGTCTTTTTCCCCAGCTTCTCCACAACATTACAGTTTTTCACTGGCAAATCTCTTTGACTAGTGCATTTTTTGAGCCTATATTTAGTATAAGTAAAATACTTAAGTACTGTTAAAATCAGATACTCTAAGGCTTTTACTCAAGTTGTTTTGGAATTGGTGACTTGTAACGTGTAGTGGAGTAATTTTCACTGTAAGGTAGCTGTACTTTTACTCAAGTATGGTTTTTAGGTACTTTTTACACCTCTGGCAGCTGCACAATTTCTAGATATTATTGCTTAAAACTTAATACAATTTTGCAGTTTGTTAAAAAAAAAAAAATATTTTTGACATTAAAAAATGCTACTAAAAATATAGTCCTTATTTATATGTCTTATTAACATATTTCCTTTGCAAAAGTCACATCATAGTGTCATACAACAGTTTTGTTCAGTATAAAAGCAAGCAAATAAATAAATAAGCAAGCCTGACTGGGACAACAATTTTTTTTCATGCATTTTCATGCAAAATTATGCTTGCTGCTTTTTTGACTACATATTAATATCAACATATTAACTATATTAAATATAAAAAACTATATTAAATATATGTCTCACCGCAGGACTGTTTGAATTGCAAGGAATTGTAAATATTAACCTAAAATGCTGAAACAATAAAGGTCATGATGATGTTATTTGTTAACACATATTTCTTAAAACAATTGTATGACGAGAATTGCATTGAATTAATTTAGAGAATACCAGAATAAAGAAACCTTGACTGATAAGGCTACGTACAGGGCAGAATATCCCTATAGCGGTTTTTCTTCACATTTTCTTTGATTTCTCCTACGGCAGTGGACAGGCCATAATCCTCTTTGAGTGATGCACTTTTCTGCCGTATCAACTGAAAAAGGAAAGAGAAAACACACAGGTAACAGATCAAAAACAAGTTTTTTTTTTTAAAACATGACCAAATCCCTCTCATTTTAGTAGAATGTTAATTGATTGCACCATCTGACCACAAGGTGGTGTCCTTTTGCTTGTTTGCATTGCTATGCCATGTTGCATGCCTTTAAATAGCTCATGGAGTAGGGTATTCCTGCAATACCGAAGGCTGCAGTTTCAGGACCCTATAGTTTTTTATTTACAGTTACATTTTAAACTTTTTTTATAACACTTACTTTTGAATAGTTTATTTGTATTATTAGTAATTATTTAGTTGTTTAATTGTATACATTTAATTATTGTCCTCACCTAACCCCGTTTCAATATATTCTATATGTATTCTGGTTTGAAATTCAGTTTTCTAGTAAAGAACGACTTCAGTTCATTAGCCGTCTGATGTGTGACCCACTTTACGAAGTGCAGTAAACGGTAAAACAGGTGCGCTACAAATGAGTGTTTATTAGTACGTTAATACATTTTAAATAATTTGAAAACAAATCCCAGTTTGCAACATCCAGCAGCACAATGAACTGCTCAAGTTCACGTTAGGTCATATACGTTTAAAACAATAAGATGGAAATATTTAAAAAAAGAAATTATTTCCATGGATCTAGTCTTTGCATCTGTTTGTTTGATGCTTGAATCAGGTCTCCTCTCTTGGAATAGAATTGGCTAAGGTGGCGCTGTCACAAAAAATAGGGTCCTAGAAATGCGGTCCTGAAACTGCAGCCTCTGGTATTGCAGCAATGTAGTATTGTGCATAAAAGCCATGAAAATGGTCTTTGTTATTTGAGGGCGAATGTGGTTTATGAAACATTCAAGATCAATAAACAACTTTTTTCAACCATGATCAGCATACTGAAACCTCCAGTATAACATTTGTACTACATTTACAATTACGCATTTAGAAGATGTTATTTTTATGCAAAGTGATTTGCATTGCCTTCAAGGTATATTTTTGACTCATTAACGGGAATCAAACCAATGACCTTCAATTAGGGAAAGCCTTCAATTAGGCCTGTCGCAATAATCAATATATCGACTTATCGCGCAATATATGTACATGACCTCAATCATTTTTGATGACACAACATATCGCCCATTATATTTACTTAGAAATGAATGTCACCATGTTTTGTACATTCCACTTGCGCCGGTGTCTTTTGCAGCTTCTCGTACATAACGTGGTGTAATCATGAGGTGCTAGTTCAAATTAAAAAAATGCTTAACTACAAAAAAAGTTTCATCTGCAGATGTGGTCTTGTTTAGGGATCTGTGCCTTTGTGCATACAGACATCTGAATGCTAAGTAGTGATGGTGTTTTTCAGCAATAGTGTGCACCCTTAAATTACAGAGAAAAGAAGGTCAGGGAAAATCTGTAGATGGATAAATCTCCATACAAGTTCTTTGTGCATTTTTCTTGTTACTTTGCACTTTTTGTTAGAAAATGTTTATTTACTATTTATTTGGGTTTTTTAAGGTATCTAATATTTTGATACTTAATTTCCATGATCTAAATATTCTTAAAAATGAAAAGTTTGTTGTCATTTGGAAGTGTGTAGGCCTTCTTTTATTATTATGCTGTTACATATAAAATGTATTTAAAATGACAATAATATTGCTTATCGCAATTATTTCTGGCGCAATATATCGCACAACAAAAAGTTGCTATCGTGACAGGCCTACCTTCAATTATTCTCAAACAAACAGACAGGTTATAAATATCTGTAAATAGAGACAGCTAAATTTTCAAGACCTAAAACTGCTCTCTGTTTTACTTCCATTCTCTAAAAGCAGAAGAGATCAGCAGCACACATGTGCTATTTTCAACGCAATGCTCTCGGTTAGGTCTCCGCCAATGAAGCCACAGAGCATCACAACCCATTTCTGCCCCTTTCACCACATGCACTACAGTCTCAAGTGTTTTTTTTTTTTCCACAGAGGCTTCAACTTCTGTCTCTGAATGCTGCCCGTAGTTAATAACTGAGAAACTAAATGAGGAACTGTAGATCGTGCTGGTCATAAATGCCCTCTTACTTTTACTAATGTAGCCAAATGAGTCAAAAAGCAACAGATACTTCGGCAAAACCTTGGTCTGACTGTATATATGATGTTCTGGCTCTGATCCCACCAGTTTAGAAAAATATGTTCTTTCAAAAATGTGTTCTTACAAAAAAAAATGCTTTAATTAAGTCATGAAAACATTATTTCTGATCAGTGTTGGTTGTAATGCTTTACTAAGTAATTTACTACTGTAATTTAATTACTTTTCCCTTGAGAAAGTGAAGTAAGGGATTACTCTTTTTTTGTAATTTAATTACAGTTACTTCAGTAATTGCATTAAATACTGTACAGACTATAGAACAATTCTATATAAAATAGGGTGACCATACGTCCTCTTTTTCCCAGACATTCTTTTTGGACCTTGCGTCCGGCCGGGATTTCTAAATCACCCAAAATGTCCGGGATTCGGCTTTTGCTTTCTACAGTCGCCATTCAGTGTGTGCGGTTTTGTATAAGAGCCCTGAGGGACTGTTTTCTTAATCCCGCTCCCGCTGAATTTCTGACCATAATCGCCCGCTCCCGTGATTTTTGTGTCCATTGCATATAATTTTCGCACATCAGGGATCCGTTATCAATAAGCGGAGTATTTAAATCTCTTTTGAATGGGCGCTGGCTGTTCACTTTCACTTTCGATTTCGCGATCATGCACGCTCTGTGTAAAGGAAGATCAGATATTTGTCAATGAGCTCAGGATCTGTTGAGCAGCAAATCCTCCAGCATGATCTGTCAGCCATCTCTCCTCTCAACCCGTGATCAGTCAAATCTGACTCCTGCAGCTACTGTTGGATGCAGGGTTGTCATTTCCGCATTTTTTTCCCCCATGGAATTGGGCTGCTTTTAAACTGTTGCCGTGGGTTTATTTCCCCCCGTGGGTTAACGGTTTGAAATGTTACATAAATTACATTTGACTGAAATGCTTGTATTGAAACATTTTGCATTCTATGATAAACCTGTGCTGGATTTTTTAGCTGCGTTTTTTTATAAATATGCATAACAGTGACTGTAAAATATTGTCAGGGAAGGAGACTCACACAGAAGGTTAGAAACAACAGTGGATGTTTATTTATGGCAACAGAGGCTGGGTGGAGAATGGCAGGTGAGTAAGCAGTTCAATGGAACAGCTCAATGGAAACTGGGGTTCTGTAATAAGGTATCTTGCCCTTGCAGGTGTCCGTGGAAGAGCTGGTAGCTGAATGGGTGGTAGCACACACCTCACCGTTGTAAGCACTGGAGTTGAACACTCAGAGACGAAGGAGGATACAGGCGTTGGAGTGGAGCACAGGAGGTAAGTACACGAGGAAAGTAAGGATATCAATCTTTCGCTTGAGTAGCATAAAGAGTCCACTTCGTACAAACGAGACCGGACGCTGGAGTGAAGTGAGGTGTGTGCTTATGAAGCCGTCTTGATGAGGGTGATGATTCTGAACAGGTGCGTGCAATCAGAACTCAGGTGAAGGTGTGCGCTGTGATTGGGTGGTGAGTGAACCTGGCCGATCCGTGACAAATACTATTTCAGGTATGGAAATGGCATATTTTGAGTTTTGATATTTGGGATATTGCGCTACTTTGGGCACTACTTTAACCACCAACAAACCACACCCCAGCCCCCCGCCCCGTCCGCACCCACTTTCCTCTTTTTGGAAAACTAAAATATGGTCACCCTAATATAAAACAATAGTGGATTTAACATCAGAATTCAACAACTCATGTTAAAATATATGTGTTTAATGTAACCTTGTCCCTTTAAATACTTTGGTCAGTTCAAGAATAATTTATGCAATTTTATATTATTTATTTAAAAGAATTAAAAAAGAAGTTTCATGTCTTTCTTTGTATTGTTCAACTGGTCGAGGTCGATATGGGATTTAGAAAGTAATTAATAAGTCATAGAATACTTTTTAAGAGAGAGTAATTACTACAGTAATCTACAGTAATTACATTGTTGCATTAGTAGCTAATAAATTACTTTTCTAGAGTAACTTACCCAAGACTGTTTCTGATATTCTGTGAAAGTTCAAAACAAAGTTTTTTTTTATATATTTTAAAAACATTTGATTTCTTTGTGTGAATGTTCATGAAAACATGAAGGGGTTGTTACTTTTGAACGATCTCTGAACGTTGTGAAACAAATGGAAGAATGTCCAGCTAAAATGTTTCAGAAAAAGACATTCCAAGAATGATGTAGAAATAAAACTTCTTGTGCTATTGTTTTGAGAACATTATTAAAGACCACATAGTTTTGAATGTGCAGTCTCTTAACATCACTGGAAGAACGCTTGTTCATCAATTTGAGGAAAAACTTCAGACGTCAGAACGTTCTGAAAATGTTTTCATTGTTTAAGTGTCAAAAATCTTGAATGGAATCAGCAGTGAGATCTTTCACCTCTGTTTACTGTTGCTCATGCAAATGTTGTGTGACATTTTTGTAACCTAGTCTGCAGTAACAACTCATTTGCAAACACACATGCAAATTAGCAATTTGCTAAAAACACTTTAGAATAATTCTCACTAATAAAATTAGTAACAATAAGATTAAAAATGCACATTCATGTAGTTGGAAATGTTGTTTTATATATATATATTTGCCATATATTTTCAAATACACAAAAACGTACTGTGAGAGTACCACGGTATAGGCCTACTGATGATACAGTATATGATGGTAATTCCAAGGAACTTTGATTACCATGGTACCACGTCTAAAAACCATGGTAATTCCATGACACAGTGTTGGTGGAACTGAATGACACCCATAATCATATATCATGGTATTTACATAATACTCCAAGGTACTTCACTTACAAAGAAGTACCCAAAAGTACCACGGTAATAGCTACAATGCTTTTGACATGTACCATGTAAAAATCATATAACATTCTTAGAAGTACCGGAGAGTGCCACATATATGTACCATTTATATACCAAAGTATGGTAATATCATCACCGTACTACACTCTAAAAAATGCTGGGTTAAATATAACCCAGTGCTGGGTAAAATAGGGACAAACTCAGCAATTGTGCTGTTTTGACCCAGCGGTTGGGTTACTACCCAGAAGGTTGGGTTAAACATTTAACAGCCTAATTGCTGGGTTTGTCCCTATTTTACCCAGCACTGGGTTGTATTTAACCCAGCATTTTTTAGAGTGTATGGTATCAACACATTATTTTCTGTAAGTGTTCATAGAACATCAAAGTAGTGTCCAAAAACATAGCATTACCATGGGACCAAAAAAGATAGCACAAATCACACTTTTCAAACAAAGTATTTCACAAAGAGAAGGTTGTTAAAAAGACATGTTGACAAGTGTGGTTTTTCGGTACTTTGAGTAATATAATGACTGTATCCACAAACATGGTAATACTATGGTATTTGAACTGATATGACCTGTTAAATAATATGAAGAAGTAGTATATATTTAACTAAAAAGGACGTGTAAAAGTTTAGGACTTACGTTGAACTCGGTGGAGATGAGCTGGTCTCCACTGCTGTCACGGTCGGACAGACAGCGGACCCGCTCCACAAACCTCAACAGGTGCTCTTCCATCACCGTATAACCACGCTCTCCGGCATCTTACTCCGTCATTTTCTTGATACTCGACTCCTTGTACAATCTCAACTATTAATATACGATCGTTTGCAGGAGAACTGCTCTGTTTCCGTGTTTGTAAAGTTATCCAGGCAGCAAAACTGACAGAGGGAAGTTTCTCCCGCTGATACTTTTGTCACCTTCATATACGGCGGTGTGTTAATCATCAGCCGTCGCCACGCCTATTTTATCATTCCAGCCAATCCACTGTCAGAACCTTACCTGTAGCTGTAGGGAGAAACTACGCTCTCATTCAGTTCAGACTAGTCTTGTGAACATAAACTACATTTCCCATCAGCCTTTGTGGCAGCAGAAAAACGCTACAATAAAAACAGATAAATAATCGATTACAGTCACACAATGCACATCTTTTGCGCTTCATTATGTTGCATTAGTGCTAAATCATTCCGGTCTTTATAGGAAAGTGGAAAAGAAAGAGAAATAGGCTGTCCAACGACCACAACCACTTGAATGCACCTCATGTCACAATTACGATTTCCAAACTTGTAAGAACCAAGCAGGAACTTCCCACATAGTGAAAACGTTGCACTTAACAGTAGGCTACTGATCCGCTTTCTGTTGTAGATCGCTAATCATTTGGACAGAAACAAACCCAAAGCTTGTCCTGCAGCAAGTCAACCACAGTTTCTGCAAAAAAAAAAAGAAAAAAAAAAAAGGTAAAGGCTTGTGATATTAACAACTGAATTTGAGTTTGATTGTATTACACCTCAGCAAAAGAATGTCACAGCAGTAATGGTATTTTGGCATTATGTTTACTATGGTAAATATTTCATATGTCTCTGGGAGTTTATTTATCAATTGGCATGTTAGCTGTGATGCTATGTGAATCATTCAGCTTTTATTTTGTTCTATGGACCAAAGAATGATCATAAATCATTCTGTCTATTTTTTTAGACTTTGCACACTATTTTGACATCGCTTTATCATTCAATCAGTTTCATGTCCCACTTGAACCTCCTCTAAATCAGCACTGCCCACAGACCAGTTAGAAATCATTCTTTCAGCAAGAGATGAAGCATCATATTCATCCTATTACACGGTTTTAACCGCTCTCTGATCCCTAGGCATCATGTGATAACCTCTGGGTCTGGGATTCTAGACTGAGTAATGGAGAGCCACAGAGATCCATTGTTTGACATCAATAGAACGAGTGTTTTCACCCTTAAAACTAAAAAACAAAACAAAACACCAAGTCCAAAAGATTCTCGCTTTGAGGGAAATGAGAAACAGACAATATGCAAAGGAGTAACAATAGAGGAAGCTGGGAGTTTCAACCTGAGGACACTTTAATAGAGGAGACTGGTAAGTTTCCATCTAGCTTGGCCCAGGCAAACCTCAATGGACAGAAAAAGGACCCCTTGGCAGGTTGTGCTGTGGATGTCCCAGCCAGGTCTGACTTATAGGAATGAAGATATAATGTCAGAGAGTTGGAGGCAACACAGGAAGCACGTGTTTGTGCTGAGCGAGGCAGGGAAGCCCATCTACTCACGCTATGGCAACGAGGAAGCTCTCTCCTCCACCATGGGTGTCATGATGGCGCTGGTCTCCTTTGTCCAGGCTGAAGGCAACATGATTCAATCTATTTTTTCAGGTGAGATCCACCATCTTCATTTAGGTTTTTTACACTGTCAGATAGTTGTCTTTTTAAAAAATAAAGGTTCTTTGCAGCAACTTAGTTTGACAACAACAACAAAAGGAAATTACTGAAGAACAAAATAACTTAAAAAAAGGTTCAGGTTGTAAATTTCTTTAAAACTTTAGTTGAAAGTAATACAGGATGGCGTTTGCTTCTTTGAATATATGGTTAATGTTAAAGTTCATATTTAAATGGAAATTTAGTGTATAAACAAGTTCACAAGAGTTATATTTAACATATTTGAAATTTACAGTATTTTTTCTTTCTTGGAGAACATAAAATATTTTATTTAATCTTATATAAATTATATAAAATATTTAAGGGATTAAGCCATTTAATCTCTTAAATACTGTATACTATGGAATGCGTTAAATTGATCAAAAATGACAGTAAAGACTATTACAACATTTTTTTTTTAAATAAATGGTGTTCTTTTGAACTTTCTAATCATCAAAGAATCCTGACAAAAATGCATCACAGATTCCACAAAAATATTAAGCAACTGTTTTCAACATTGATAATAGTAATAAATGTTTTTTTTGTTTGCACCAGATCAGCATATTAGAATGATTTCTAACGAAGCTTGTGATGCAGTAAACTAATGGCTGCTGAAAATTCACCTTTGCATCAAAGAAAATTACATTTTAAACATCATAAACTTATGTGAAAAACTTATGTCAACACAGGAAAGATTACATGGGATCTTTACATTCTGCATGTAATTAGGGTCTATACATATATCAATTATTTTTGACTCGTTTTCAATTTTGAAAATTGTTATAATAAGCATTTTTACATATATATATATATAATGACAGACAACAGCTAATATTACTCTGTTCTTTCCCTCTGTTTCCCTCAAATGAGCATACGGTGGTCTTTTTGCAGAAGGGTCCACTGGTCCTTGTATCCGTGTCTGCCACTCGCCAGTCTGAGCAGCAGCTGCGCAGCGAGCTCCTCCATGTTTATCATCAGATAGTCAGCATGTTCACGCAGGCCAGCATAAACCACATCTTTGAGCGCCAGAGGAACTTTGACCTGCGGCGTCTGCTGTTTGGCTCGGAGAAGGTTCTGGACGGCCTTCTCGGTGTCATGGATTCTGATCCTGGCTTCATGTTGTCAGCTGTACAATGCCTGCCTCTGCCATCCTCTTCCAGAGACACTCTCAGTCACATCCTACAGAAAGCCATCACCCCGAATCTGGTCTTCTCTTTTTTCATTGCCAACAACCGACTTGTCTCCATTGTTCAGGAGAAGACGGTTTTGGAAGACGCTAGACTAAAACCCAATGACCTTCATCTCCTCTTCAATGTGATCAGGGCCTCCTCTGCTTTTCAGGCTGGAGAGATATGGACGCCCATCTGCCTGCCTCTGTTCAATCACGACTGCTACTTTTATGCTTATGTGGCGTATCTAGACCCTCCTGAATGTGTATGCCTTGTTCTTCTGTCTACAGATAAAGAAGCATTTTATGCCATGGCAGAGTGCAATAGGAAAATTGAGGAAGCTTTCGCATCCCAGAATGCCTTGCAGTGGGTGGCAAACACTCAGTTGTACAATGTTGATGATATCGGTGTAGCTAATCTTAAGCACTTCCTGAACAAGCCCTCAAAAGTGTTAGACCACCATCGCAAGCTCCCTCAGTTCACATGGTGAGTAGCTTACAAAGCGTCATTCAATGTCAATATGAAATCAAAATATACCATTTACTTTCTTAATACATGTTCATGGATTTATTTTGCACAATTCATCATCGAAATTCAAAAAATGTTCGCCTTCATTGACTTCCATGAAAATGTAATAAGTTGGTCTGCCTCTGAAATTACTTTCTTCTTCAGTTGACGTTGCCTAGGCCTTGTGGACAGAAAATATTAAGTTAACAATAGCAAAATTAAATAATGTAATTTAATTATATTTAATTTCAAACCTATTTAATGCCAGTTAACATTAATTAATTAAAGGCTATGACAATAATAAAAAAATAAGAGTAGAATCCTGGTCAAAAAGTCTTCTGAAGAGCAGGGAGTATTCAGATCTGACGTTTACACAAATCATTCGTGTTTTGACTCATTTATCTGAATCAATTGTTCTTTTTGCCATCAGAAACACCAGATGGCTCTCAAGTCCTGATAAATGATGGCCTATAAGCCAGGATTTCCACATTCTGTGAAAGATTAGACCACTTTGCCATGAATTCTGCAACAGTAAGCACTTGATTCAGCTAATCACATTGCTGAAATGATGCTGAGATGTTTGAGACCCTGAGCGGACACAGATGCGATGTGCCTTTTATGCAAAAATGCAAGCAAATAAGGCCAACCGAATGATTAGATTGAAGCATCAAAGACCACATGATGTGTGGAAACAGTCTGTGGTTTAAACTGTGTCTCTCTCAAATTGACTGAAACTGAGTTTGTTTTTCATCATCTGGTTTGCATTGACAGTCTATGTATGTTTTCATAAGACACATCTCTGCCACTATAATAATGTAGGTGGTATGACCAGGCCACATGTCTTAGTGAATAATGGCTGTGTTGTAATCAACAAAACACACTATAAGCATTATATATGATGCCATTTTCTTATGTCGCTTCACTCAGCCCAGAGATGGAGGTGGCATACAGAAGCCAGGAAGAGAGGATACGCCTGCTGGATCTGTATCGCAACATGCACTATCGTATCCACAGTACATCACGGCCACTTAAACTCATCTACCATCAGGGCCGTGCACAGACCTTTTGAGGGGCATGTGCTGAAACTAAAAAAGGCCCCCCCCCTTGTCAAATGTCAATTCTTGTCTCAGTCAGATGTTCTTGGTTAAATAAACATTACTTACACTACCAGAAAACAACAACAAAAACAATTCTATTTTTTTATATCAATATTATAGAATATGAATCAATATTCTGTTTATTAAAGCCAAGTATGAATCTCATCAAGTTAGTGTTTTTAAGCATTTCACGTTTATTCCAAAATAACTCAAGGCAGTAACAATTTAAACTATATATTTTATTTGTGAACTTAGTTCAGCTATTCTTTTTAATAGTTAACTTTTAACTATTTTTGTATTATTCGGTTCATCAGTCATCAAAGCTCAGTAAATATTAGTCACAGACAGAGATTTACTTTAAATTTCAACAAGCTGATTACTCACTAAAAACTCCCACAGATCAAGTTTTCAGACCATTTTAAGTCTTATTTTGACGTAACAAAGTGGTTATATTTAAATGTATGAGTTGTTTACTTACTTTTTAAAATGAGTCTTCCCATTAATGCCAAACGTGGAACGCGCATGAACACAAGAGACAGGATTTTGCATAAACCAATCACAGCCGAACATAGCCAGTCATATCCAATCATATCGTGATGAAGGCATTGTCTCCTCTCATGTGATTTTCCCTCATTCATTCTCAATTACCCCCACAGCATGCTTTAGTTCAGCGGTAGGCAATGTCGGTCCTGGAGTGCCAATGTCCTGCAGAGTTTAG